TAATCGATTTCCAGCACGGGTTCCCATTATCCGATTTGACTAAAATTTTACACCAGTTAGTTTTAGAGACTAATGAACAAAATAATGAACAAATCTGAGCAAATTCGTTATTTTTTCTACACATCTAACGTACATACATACATATGTATTTATATAAACTATTTTTTTTTTTTTTTTTTCATTTAGATATTTGATAATACAGTTTTGACATAAAAAATTTATTAATTTTTGTATTAAATAGATCGAGAAACACTTTTATAAACCTTTATAGTTTTGCCATTTATAATTTGAAGTTATGGAAAACATCCACAAAATATGTTCCATCGAAGTGAGCATCGCTGAGGATATCATTGGCGCAACCTCAAGTAAAAAAATTACAAAAATCTTTCAAAAATAAAAATAAGTCATTTTAATTTAACCCAATTAAATTGCCAGATGATTTGGGTGTAAAATCGTCCAATATCTAGTAAAAAATCGTCAAAATCGTCAACTGATTTTTCGAAATCGTCATTAAATCGTCAAAGTTATTTTCCTTAGATAATATACATGTTTGATGGTATTTTTACGATTTTTATATTAATTATTTTAACTATTGAGAAATTTTTATAATTTCGATAGATTTTATTATCAGTTTAATTTGGCAAAACTACTTTAAAATACCTTATATTGAGTTCTTGCAAAATAATTGGCTTATATTTACAATAGATATAACTCTCCAATCTTGAAAAACTTTGTACTACTTATAAAGCTTTTAATTTCATGATTTGTGATATACATATGTCTTTTGGCCAACAATTTTTTAGTTTTTTAGTTATAGAACTTTAAAGTTTATATATTCATACGTTATATCTTCTCTATTCATGAACCGATTCTGACAATATAAATTTCATTTGAAAGAGCTTTAGAATACCTTTCCAACGAATTATAAATATTAAAAAATTTTAGAAAGGATTTCAAGCTTTAATTTGATGTATAGGTATATACTTATATCTTAATAAATGGAGATGATATTGTAGTTTAAATAGGACACCTAAAGTATATAAAATTAATGTTTTTATTCGATATTAGTTAACTGTTGTTGTTTGTTTTTAGAGGAACAAAGTTTGTACATCGAAATACCTTTCCAACGATTTATATATTACCTCATTTATTAACCCATTGAAAAAGATTAAGGATTAAAAGTCTTAAATTATTTAAAAGAAATGTCTCATAACAATACAATATATCAGTGATAAATCGCGCGATTTTTTTAAAATAATTTTCATAAAATAATAATCATATGTATAATAATTTAATATTTTACCAAAAAACAAGACCCAGAAGTGTTATAATACGTTCACACATTCGTGTTTTTTGAAACTCATCAAGTTTTTTCAAAAAACACTTCAAATTGAACTCATTTTTCCATAAATTTTTCATGTTCAAAAACATCCCATTTGACGTGTTTAATTATAACAAGTAAGAGTGTTATATTCGGCTGTGCCGAATCTTATATACCCACCATCAAATCATTGCCAAAAAGGAATGATTCCTTATAAATACACTTTGATATTTAAGAGTCGATGCTTTTGTTATTATCAAAACAATTTTCTCATTTATTACATCTATGTATAGAGAAATTTTTGTCGAATTTTGTCGCTATACTTGCATTTTTAAGGTAGTAAAAAGCGTTAAAGTTATTTTCTGAGAGGGACCTTATTTAGGGGGGACGTTTGGTCAATTATGGACCGATCATCGTCAAATTTTTTAGAACGATTTTAGTTTAGGCTAGTAATGAGCGTTAAAGCCATTTTCTGAAGGGGACCTTATATGGGGGGGTAGGATCAATTATGGACCGATCGTTATAAAATTTTACAGAGCGATTTAGGTTCCTATAAAATATGTTCATGTCGAATTTCATCGCTATAGATGTGGGATAAATTATGGACCGAATCTTATAAAATTTTACAAAGTTATTAAGGTTCCTATAAAATATGTTTATGTTGAATTTCATCGCTATAGATGCTTCTTTTAGACAGTTCTGAGCGTTAAAATCTTTTTCGGAAGGGGACCTTATATGGGGGGTAGGGTCAATTATGTACCGATGCTTATAAAATCTTACAAAGCGATTTTGGTTTCTATATAATATGTTGATGTCGAATTTCATCGCTATAGATACTTCTTTTAGAGAGTTATGAGCGTTAAAGTCATTTTCTGAAGGGGACCTTATATGTGGGGGTAGGGTCAATTATGGACCGATCTTTATAAAATTTTACAGAGATATTAAGGTTCTTATAAAATATGTTTATGTCGAATTTCCGAATTTCATCGCTATAGCTGCTTCTTTTAGTCAGTTATGAGCGTTAATGTCATTTTCTGAGGGGGCCTTATATGTGGGATAGGTTCAATTATGGACCGCTCCTTATAAAATTTTACAATGATATTAAGGTTCCTATAAAATATGTTTATGCCGAATTTCATCGCTATAGCTGCTTTTTTTAGTCAGTTATGAGCGTTAATGTCATTTTCTGAGGGGGACCTTATATGGGTGATAGTGTCAATTATGGACCGATCCTTATAAAATTGTACAATGATATTAAGGTTCCTACAAAATATGTTCATGTCGAATTTCATCGCTATAGATGTTTCTTTTAGTCAGTTATGAGCGTTAAAGTCATTTTCTGAAGGGGACCTTATATGGGGGCTAGGCGAAATCGTGGACCGATATTGCTCATTTTCAATACGAAACAAACTGCATCAATATAAAATTTCAGCTCGCTAGCTGCTTCCGTTTGGACTCTATCGTGTTTTCAACAGACGGACATGGCTAGATCGTCTTAGAATTTAATAAGGATCCAGAATATATATACTTTTATGGGTCTTAGATGAATATTTCGATGTGTTACAAACGGAATGACAAAAACAATATACCTCCCATCTTTTTTGATGGTGGGTATAAAAAACATAATTAAATATGTGAACGATTGTGTTTCAACTCATTGTGTTTTTCAAAAAACACATTAAAAACATTAATATATGAACGTAGTCTTAAATCAATGATTAAAATCAAATGTTCAAAAACACTACTCCTTCTATACTCCTCCCCACAACCTATATTTCTAGATAAGATAAAAGATAAATTCTCAAAAACCTTTGAGTTCGCTTTTACGTCAAATATTTGATGAATGGACATTCTACCTCCATTCTAAAACATTATAATTTTTAATTTTATTAACAGTTCCATTGAATATTCTAAACACATCGATTTACTTTCAAATTATAAATAGAATAATAATAAAATATATGAAAACTATTACAAAAATTCTGTTAAAATCGTCAACAGCTCTGAAAATCGTCAAAATGACGATTTTTTGCACTAAAAATGAAAAATGCACTATAAAATGGGAAAATATGCACTAAAATGTGGAAAATATACACCAACAAATATTTCCTTGTTAAATTTTAATTGTTATCACTAATTTTTCTTTTATCATATTTGAGTAAATTATATTTAGAACTTTAGTTTTTGACAACATATACATATGTGTATAGGTTCTTGATGACAGAGATACCGTTTTATGTACTCTAACACCAATTTAACAGAATCACGATCTCGTGTCAAGTGACCCAACTCAAAAAATCGATTTGGATGAAATTTGCACTAGTACTATTGGATAGTAGGCCAGACGCATCTGTCATACGAGTCCAGAGCTGAAATTCGATATAAGTAAGTTTCTTACGAGCAAAAATCTTTCTACCGAATTTTATGAGGATCGGTCAATAATTTACTCTACTCCCCATATAAGGTTCCCCTCAGAAAATAACTTTAATGCTCGCTACTGGCTTGAAAATACGAGTATAGCGCTGAAATTCGACAAAAGTACGTTTCTTACGAGCATAAATGTCTCTACCGAATTTTATAAGAATCGGTCCATAATTGACCCTACCCCCCCCCCCACTTTCAGAAAATGACTTTAACGCTTACTGGCTTAAAAATTAGAGTATAGCTATGAAATTCGATATACAGAAGTAAGTTTCTTAAAAGCTAAAGTCTCTCCGCCAAATTTTATAATTGACCCTAATGTTGGACAAAAATATTTTGGTTTTAATAATTAATATTTTGTAAATACGAAAGGGATGTGTCCATAATTGACTTAAGCCCACAATATCAACCTAATATTTATATAGAAGCATTCCATTTACGGCATACGGTTTGATGGTGGGTATATAAGATTCGGCATAGTCGAATATAACACTTGTTTTTAAATAAAATTTGTGTTCGAAAAATTAAAAAAATATGCAAAATATGATACAAAAATATTAGAAATATGCAAAATATATGCATTTTAAAGCCAAATATGCATTTTATGTATTTATAAGAAAATATGCAACAACAAATCGATGCCATTTTGTGGCAAATTCTTTGATTCGAAAAGAAAACTACTTAAGTTATTTTGAGTTACTGACTACAAACATGCATTTGCATAGAAATCCTTGCCCTGGTAATAACTTACCAATAAATTAACAAAAGAACGAGTTAAAAATGTTTCTAGTAAAATCATTAAAAAATCCAAAAAATTTATCGAATAGATTTAAATAAATTTTTCACGAAACCTGCTTTAAAGTATGTCAAACATATTGGTATGAATGGTTTATGCGAATTTTCAAAAATTACTTTTGGCCAAAACTCAATTTCTCTGGCCCTGTGTGCGCCGTTTAGCAGTCCAAAGTAACATATGTAAAGAAAATCTATTTCTTAATTTAATTTACAGTTGATATAACAATTTAGATCTGATTTATGCAGTTTAGAATTTAATAGAGCCAAATTGCGTTTGGCATAAAATTTGACGTAGCCAGCGAAAATACCGTTTCTCAAAAATTTGCATGTGATACAAATTTAAATGAGTTATTTTTGTACTTTTTAATATAATCCGACTGATATTAGTTTTTGGCATAATAAATAACAGCACAATGGGTTCAATCATACTTAAAATTATTCATATTGCATTAACAATACATACTTGTTCATCAGGATCCATTGATTCTGGTACTACATCCGGGTTTTTTTCATCATCATTTCCTTCCAGTTCTTTACTACCCGCACTCTTTTCACTTGGTCCAGGAGATCCATTTCTTGAATCTTGATCATTAGGAAATTCTTTTTGTCTTCGTCGGGAACTATTGCATGGTACTCGTAATGCTAAAATAACAGCCAATCCTGCCACTAAAACCACCAATGTTAATCCAACAGTTAGCGAAATCATTGGAGATACTAAAAGATCAGATCTAGATTTATCACCTATAAAGAAAATGGAAATATGTACATATATGGTTAAACAAAGAAGTTATTAAAATAAATCCATAAGGATGTATTTAAATAATTTAATTTCAATGTCCGATTTTTTTTTGTCCAAACACGGATAATTTAATGAAATACAGACAGCAGATTACCTAAACACTATGTATTAGTTTCCAACCGAACGTTCGGTAAAAAGTTCGACCAATGTTCGTTGTCCTTCGAAATTTTTACTGAACTCAAGAAATTAGACAAAACCGAACCATTTAAACATGCCCCCATATAAGGTTCGCTTCAGAAAATGGCTAACATTCATTACAGGCTTAAAAAAACAAGTGGAGTTATGAAATTGTACACCAACTCGCCATTCATATTTTTATGGTGACTTGATTTTAAATATTAATCAGAAATGTATGTTTTTTTATTTAATAAAAAAAGGTTGGTATTCGGCCGAACTTTATTTTATGCATATACATTAGGGTGATCACGTTTAAATGGAGAAGAAATAAGCTACAAATGTTTTTACCAAAAATGAGAGATTTGTTCATTTTAAGATACAATTTCTAAAAAATTTTTGCTCTCGGGTCAATATTTGATGAAATGATAAAAATGTCCTTTCAAACACATAATCGTAAATCGTATTGGAGTTTAGGATTTAACAATTCGGTATTCCTACAGTTATTTGCTCTAATTTGCTTGACCATGACATTCTATATGGAATCAGTGTTTTAAAGTCCGCGACATATTCTGTGTCTGGCATGAGAACAGACACGTCCAATGTTTGTGTATGGCCTCGAAACTCAACAAACGTCACAAAATGAATTACACTGTGATACTAAAGGGAAGAAAAATTAAATACAACGGTTCTAATTTACCAATTCCTCTTCGTTATAGTCCATAGAGTACGAATATGCAGATATAATTTTAGTTTTTCCTTTCCTTTCTTTTAAAAATTGGCGGACTACCAATGAGGGGTACCTCCCATACAAATAATTTACAAAATTCGTGTATAATGCAAACAACTAGAACTAAATTCTTCAAATTTTGCACGAAGTTAGATAATATTCATCTGAATATTTTGTAAAAAAACAGGGAGGATTTTCCATATAAATTAAATATAAAAATTCGTATATCTGAGAAACTATTCGAGCTAGAATCATCAAATTTTACATGAAGAACTTTGATATTCATGTGAACATTTTGAGAATAACGGGCAGACTTTCAATGGGGGCTTGGCACCTCCCATATGAATTAAATACAAAATTTCTTTTATCTGGGAAACTAATAGAACTAGATTTTTAAAATTTTTCACGAAGAACTTTAATATTCATCTGGAGGGGCTTGGAGCCCCCATATGAATTAAATACAAAAATTCGAATATCTGAGAAACTATTAGGGCTAGAATCTTCAAATTTTACATGAAGAACTTTGACATTCATCTGAACATTTAATAACGGGCGGACTTTCAATGGGGTGCTTGCCACCTGCCATTAAATACAAAATTTGGTTTATTTGGGAAACTAATAGAACTAAATTCTTTAATATTCATCTGAACATTTTGTGGAAACAGGACGTATATCTGAGAAAATATTAGAGCTAGAATCTTCAAATATTACATGAAGTGACTATCATTAATATTCGGTTTTTACATTTCCGTTTTTTTTGTTCTGAATTTTTTAAATACAAATTTGGGTATTTAAAAATAAATATTTTGTACTTATTGTTGTACGTATTAAGAGCTTTTTATACATACCAAATTCTTTATATACATCGATTAAATCTAATAAAAAATTGAAAAACATGGAATATTGCATAAATTTATGCTTCATTAATATTCATATATAAAACCGTAGGGAGGGTATATTGGATTTGTGCTGATGTTTGTAACGCCTAGAATTAATGGTCCTACCTTTAAGTATACCAATCGGCTCAGAATCATTTTCTGAGTCGATTAAGCCATGTCCGTCTGTCTATCCATGTAATCAAACTACAGGTCGCAATTTAGAAGATAATTGGATGAAATTGTTTTCTACCAGCATAAATGATACTGAAAGTGCTTGAAAGTAGTTAATTCCCATATAAACACCTGTATTTTAATGAAATTCGGTATAATTAACTTTAATGTCAACAATAATCGCTCCACCAAATTTTGTTTGGATCGGTTCATAATTGACCCTAGCTCACATACACATTTTAGATATACTCACAACGCCCGACTATACTTCTTTACTTGTTTCTTCTTACGAAAAAATTATTCGCTGCAACCGTTCAAAAATTGATTGAATAATGGACGAGTTTATATTACGATGTTCAAATAATCTAGTGTATCACGTAGAATCATTTTAGAAAGGTCATTTTTTAAATAAAAAACAATCGGTCGTAAGGAAAAAAATAATTATCTTTAGAAAAAAAATGAAATTGTATTTTGTACACTATGAAAATTAAAAAACCTATAAAAAATATTGGTGAAATATTAAATAATAAAAAAAACGGGATAGCCGAAAAAGTTGACAGATATAGAAAAGCGTCTAACACTTAGGAAAATCAAATCCGCGCTAAGTGCTCCTAAAATTGTTTCTGAAGTGAAAGAATAATTAATAAATACTGTTTTAGAAACAACAATTCATCGAACGATTAAAAGTCAGGGATACAGTGGCCTAGTGCCTGATAAGAAGCCGTAAGTAGATAATAAGAATGGAACGTACCGACTACAATTTGTGAATGAACGTCTCAACAAAGATTTAATTTGGTGGGATTATAACGTCCCACGTGCTATTTGATAAGAGCATATTTAATATATTTGAAGTGTCGGAAGAACAATATTGTGGCGGAAAGCATATACAAAGATGATAATATTTTTATTTTTTAAAATTATATTTTAAGAAATTATGTAACAAGTTAAAAAACGAATTTAATGAAGCTTTAATTTTTGGTAAGTTATAATTTGTTGCTATTTTATTTGTTTTAATCAGGGACGTAACGGTTATAAGAAATATGATGAAAAGGTCTCATTTAACAATTAATAGTAACGGATTTAAAATAAGTATTATAATTAACCATTATTATAAGATATATTTGATTTTGGTCGTCGTAACCAATACCAGAGAGAAATATAATATTTTGGTAACGAATAACAATTATCGTAACCAAAAAATTTTTATTGGTTATATTTTTTTCAAATATCTTTGGCAAAGTAAATAAAACGCCCAGTTTTGCAACAAAAGTCTATTCATTTTATAAATAAAATATAATTTAAATTATTTTGCCTTTTAATTTCGTTAACATTTATATGGACCAAAAAATAAATTAAATAAATTTTGGTTATCTATTACCAAAAAAATATTGGTTGCTAAATAACAGTTATTCATAACAGTTATTCATAACCAAAAAATATATTTGTTAAATATAACATGTTAATTGGTTACGGAGACCTAAATAATATAAATCTTATAATAATGGTTAAAAAGTCCCTAAATAAAATAAAGGGATTTTTTGTGTAACTTTTTCTTTCGAAAGAAAAAAATAACAATTATTTTCAGTCCCTGGTTTTAATCATTAATTTTTAGATTAAATTTGAATAATTTATTTCGAACTTTTTTCCATTTTCATTTAATTACAAAAAAAAAAATATATGTATACACTTTTTTCTTAAAATTCCCGCTTAAATATCAATATAAATATACGCAATAAAAAAACGAATATTAATGTCAGTCACTGCATATATAAAAACCCTGCAGTCAGACTGGGTCCATATATCTTTTTGTCAACAGTACTAGTTCAAATGTCTCCAATCTTTCATTTCTGTGTCAATATAAAAAATACAGAGACCAAAGATGTGGTGTATATCTAGTGGCATTGTCAAAAAACATGTCAATATTCCTTAAGAAAATGTCTGTATTAAAACTGAATGGACTCGCGATATAGAAATGTACTAGTAAATTCCTGGTTCTAATGTCACCATATGGATCCATGAGAAGTACCTAGTCAATACCGAGTCAATAGTCATAATGTTACTAGACGATTTTCAATGACACGCACATGTTAAATGTCAATAGCACTAAGCCTTGTATAGGGTATAATTCGACACTAGTACTACTGACAAAGTCAATAGCGATTAAGCACATTTTTAATATTGACATTTCCTACAGGGAACATATTCTATCAATTTATCTAAAAAATAGCTGAAAATATTGTGAATCTCTGGTAAGACCTCGTTGTATTTATATATATGTACATAAATATACGGAGAATTTCATGTCAAGTGACCCAACTTTAAAAATCGTCGTATTCCGATTTAGATGAAATTTGCAGCAAGGTTAGAACTTTGGGATAGTAGGCCGAACACAAATTTTTAAGAACTGCCGGATTCAGAGGGGGTCAAATTTGGACATTTTGGTCATACAGGGTTTTATTCAAATGAGTGTAACTATTGGTCCTAGCACAAATTTTTTTATTTTTTTAAATATTTTAATTTTTTTTTTCAAAATGGGCCCTTTTTATTTTTTTGCTTAAAAGAAAGCTTATACAATTTCCTTAAAGGGCTTTATAGTCCCATACAACAAAAACGTCCATTTTGAATAATAGGGGAAAACGAAATGCCAAATATTGAAAAAAAATTTATTCTTGAGTTAAAAAATATTTTTTTTGATGGATATCCCACTCACTTCCCATTATGGGACTATGAAGCTATTTAAGGAAATTTTATTTTCTTTTAAGCAAAAAAAGGGCCCATTTTGAAAAAAAATTATTTTATTTTTTTTGGAAAGAATGAAGAAATGGCTATCTGAACTCCTTTAGACCAATAGGTGAAAAGTTACACTCATTTGAATAAAACCCTGTATGACCAAAATGTCTAACTTTGATCCCCTCTAAGTCCTACAGTTCTTGATCGATAGTGTTGAAAATTTGTATCTGACGTACTATCCAATAGTCCTAACTTTAGTGCAAATTTCGTCGAAATCGGTTTTTTTTGAGTTGGGTCACTTGACATGAAATTCCCCTTA